TTTTTGGCGTATTCCGCACCATAGGCACATACCGCCACCAACTGTTTCTAATCATACATGGACGATAGTCCCGCCTCTATTCATACTTTATTTATTTATTTTTTAATTGTTACTTTTATTTCAAGCCGAAATGTTCTGAAGTTCTGGCTGCTGCGTGTTGCCATATGGTTTCTGCGAAAACGCGGACGGGATCGCGGAGTCCGTCATAAAAACGTCATTTACTCTATCGCGGAATGCCACGGAATTCATCAATTTTGGACGAATAAATCAAAAGTTCGATTAATTCGAATCTCGATATGAACTAGTGTCTGTGAATATTAAAATGCAAAAAGACGGTTTAAATATGAATCCTGCATGTTCCGCTTGCCTCTGTATATGAATGGCGGAAACACGGTTTTGTTTACTACACAAATACTGAAGTACGCGTGATGCTCGCGGTGATTTTCGGCCTCTGCGTCTCACTATATGACGGCATGAACACAAAAACTTAATCTCCAGAGCTGCTGTGAGAGTCACTTTTAAGAATTTTGCCATTTCATTGGAGAAAACTAGCATCATCATACTGTATACACACAGAAACTTCATGGCAACCTGTCAAAATAAAAGTACGGTTTAATATGTAACAGAAATAATATTACTCTTGTATTACTTTTGTAAAGTATAATGTACATCTTTAAATATTCCATTTTCTATCAAATTTAAATAAAACAATTAAATGATAAAAATAAATATTACAACCAGATGAATCACTTAATTGTAGAAAAAAATAATAAAATTATTAGCCTATTAAAAAATGTTTTAAAGGAATATTTACACAATTTTTCTTCCATGTATTAATTTCAACAGTAAACCTCAGTTTGTTTGCCAAAAAAATAAAAGAAATAAAAGGTCATTTGATTTAAAATAAATGTTTAATGCCTTCATTAAAGGGGGGGTGGAGAAAAAGTTTAAAAAGTTTGATAATAACATATAAGAGCAACATATAATAACAGGTATTATTAAGATAGATATATATATCCTGTGATATCCTGTGATGTTTTATATATATATATATATATATATATATATATATATATATACAGATAGACAGATAAATAGATATAGATATATAGATAAATCTTAATGTCTTATACATACACACACACACAAACACTTACACACACACACACACACACACACACACACACACACACACACACACACACACACACACACACAC